GGGCGTGCTGTCATTTGTTAACCAGGACTTGCTGGAACCGGGCTCCACAGTCCTCTTGCACAACAAGGTGATGGCGGTGGTCGGCATCCTCTCGGACGACACGGACCCGATGGTGTCTGTCATGAAGGTAGAAAAGGCGCCCTTGGAGTCTTACGCGGACATTGGTGGGCTGGAGTCGCAGATTCAGGAGATCAAGGAGTCAGTGGAGCTGCCCTTGACCCACCCCGAGCTCTACGAGGACATCGGCATCCGCCCGCCCAAGGGAGTCATCCTCTACGGGGAGCCCGGCACCGGCAAGACTCTTCTGGCCAAGGCCGTGGCCAACCAGACGTCGGCGACCTTCTTGCGAGTGGTGGGCTCGGAGCTGATTCAGAAGTACCTCGGGGATGGACCCAAGCTGGTGCGTGAACTCTTCCGGGTGGCTGACGACCTGTCGCCCTCCATCGTCTTCATCGACGAGATCGACGCCGTTGGCTCCAAGCGTTACGATTCGAACTCGGGGGGCACGCGAGAGATCCAGCGGACGATGCTGGAGCTCTTGAACCAGCTGGACGGCTTCGACGAGCGAGGAGACGTCAAGGTGATCATGGCCACCAACAAGATCGAATCCTTGGACCCCGCGCTCATTCGGCCTGGGCGCATCGACCGGAAGATCGAATTCCCCTTGCCGGACATCAAGACAAAGCGGCGCATCTTCGGGATCCACACGGGGCGCATGACCCTCTCGGAGGACGTGGACCTGGAGGTGTTCGTCATGGCCAAGGACGAGCTCTCCGGCGCCGACATCAAGGCGGTGTGCACGGAGGCCGGACTGCTGGCACTCCGGGAGAGGAGGATGAAGGTGACGCAGGACGACTTTGTCAAGGCCAAAGAAAAGGCGTTGTACCGGAAGAAGGGCAACATCCCCGTATCCATGTACCTGTAAGAGGGAGGAGGGGGAGGGCATTGGCCGGTTGGGGGGGGCGCGGCCAGCACAAGGAGTGTATGAAGCAGCTCACGAAGACCCCAACGTAGGAAGGGCAAATAAAGGGCGACCAAAAAAGAAGACACGTGCAAAGAGGCGAGGAGGGGAGACTTGGCGGATGGCGACGGCTGTTGTTTACTTTGAAAATCATCTTTGTTGGGCGGACGCCCGCTGTGTGCACAATCACACATTATGGCACATGTACAGGGATTGCATACGCGCAAATAAAGACATAACACATGCATGCGCGCTCACTTATCCATACATCAGCAAGCTTCTAGAATAGAATGGGGTAATTCGCCCGCGGCTCCTTAGGCCTCTTGCCGGTGAGCTCCGCCCCACTCCCCTCGATGGCTCCGCGTCGCTCATGGCCCTTCCTCATCCTTACAGCTGCCTTCTATCTCGTCGATGGTGTGCAAAATTGAATGACAGTGGTAGCTGAAGCGCTCGTGGGAACACCGCACCTGTTGGGACTTCACACTCTGTTCGTCGATCAGGGGCACCAAATCTCCGACAGCCCAGACATTGATCGCGTACGCGTCAATATTATCGAGTGAAATCTTAAACTTTTTCCGGGAAAGGACCACGCCGGGCGCGGAGAAAACAACGGCCACACCCTCCAAGCGTGCAGCGACAATTTGTGCTACCCCACCCCCGAGGCTGTGGCCGGTGAAGAGGAGTTCGTAACCCTGGTAGTAGGGATTCGAGAGAATGGTGCTCGTGATGTAGTTACCTGAAACGGGGGAAGGAATGCACAATGCCATGAGGACGTGAGATGCAACATTTATAAGGGACCGCACGGAAAGGAGTGGCATGGACAAGAAACGCCGTGATTGAATTGATGTCTAGCGCGCCGTTCTGTGATGTCCTGCCCTTTCGACCCTTACAAACTTACTGAGTGCATCGTAGTAGTACCTCACAGCGTTTCCAACCGCCTCAGTCCCGTGAGAAGACCCGGTACTCCGACTGTCCGAGAAGCGTTGACCGCCCAGGTGGTGGTTCAGGAGGACGCCTTTCAGCGTGGCCAGGGTTTCAACCAAGTGCGAGGGCGTGCCCACGAACTTGTTCAAGAGGGGTTGGAACATTGGGCTGGCATACAAGGGGAAGAGAGACGTACAAAGCTGGATGAGGATCGCCTCCGAGTATGCGTCCAGATCTTGAAAGAGATCGAAGAGCGCGTTCGTCCCTCGAATTCCCCAGACTAAAACCCGACTGTGCGGCAAGTCGAACATGTAGGTGACGGGGCCGTACTGCCCCAGGTCCACGAGCGAAACGTTTGAAAAATGGTGCCGTGGCACGTGCTCGGCCAAGTAGCTTTGTAGTTCCGCTTGCTCCATGTAGGCGGCGTTCGAGACGTGCGCCAAATCCAAGACGCTGAGGCGGTCCCGAGAGAAGGTCTGCTCACAGAACGCGTACGGCTGCGGAGCTTGCACAACATCCGAGCGTGGAGCGGTGTCGTTGCTACGGTGATTAGCAGGCGATGGAGGTCGTTTCCAAGAGCCTCGTGCCGCGCGGTAGGCTGCGTGGGCAGCTTGGTAGTTCTCCGGCACCGTCCGCAAGGTCAAGACCAGCAGGAGAAGGAATATGATCGAGGCGAAGGTCCACTTGCGAGCGGTCGTGACGATGGCGTGCGTCCGCGCCTTCGTGTGGAACGCGAGGCCTTCTTCGTGCGTACGGGGCGGAGGAAGCTTCCGGTCGCGAATGGCGGGGATATGGGCCAGTAAGACAAGGCAGTTGGAAAGGAGGATGACCACAATCACGGCCGCTCCCAAGTAATACGAGGCCAGCGAGAGACAGAGCAGGAATCCTGTGACCAAACAAAGTGTAAGCGCCACGTCCAAAGCCAGAAGTCCCACTGGGCTGCAATACAAAGCGATGAGGCGTGCAAGAACAGCGTGCAGGAGGGGCACCGCCATGAAATAGGAGATAATGAAAGCGAAAAGGACGTAGGCCCGCACTGAGACCGCCGTGTATGCGAGAAGAATCAGGGCGGAAAGGAGGAGAAGGGTCCACGGTAAGCTGACGATCGTTGGGAAGCAGCGTCGCTCATCCAAGCGGGCCCCGGACCTCCCTCCGCCGCACCACTGAACGCAGTACCAGCCGAGGTGCCACGGGGTGGGCCAAGGCTTCACCCCGTGACCCGACAAGAGCCGGCGTCGTCGCTGATATGATCGCCGCTCTTCTATGTCCTCCTCATCTTCGACCTTATTCTCGCTGTTTTTAGGTTCCTCTGCGCTTGAAGGCTCCAAGGCCTCTTCCCTCCATTTCTCCTGATAGGGGTCTGAACTCCCTCCCTCCAAATCGACCGGCTCCGGCAAGAAGGACTGCGCGGCATACCGGCCCCACGTTGAAACCTTGTTGCTAAGCGCACCACCACCGTCAATGGTCGAGCGCACGTAGATGCGTACGGCTCGGCTGGCCTCCGTGTGGAGCAAGCCATGGGCCACCACCCTGCCTGCCCGACGACACCACCCTATGCAACCCCAGATAATGCCCGAAGAGTGCGGAAATCCATTACGCTTTTCCCCACCAGTCGGGGCTTTTCGGGGGCAAGGCTTAAGGATGGAGTGGTCCTGACCGATCAGGGCGCCCGCGAAAAAAAGGAAGGCTAGAAGCACGTTGGAGGCGAAGGACAAGAAGAACTGGGTCCGCCAAAGCCAACCGCTCGCGGTTTTCTTCAACTGCATGCCGAAGACAACAAGACTGAAGAGCACCGGAACATTGATGCAGAATGTCACCGTTGTCGTCAAGCAGTTTTTAGAAAAGGTACTTTGCAAGTTCCCCCTCAAGGCCGCCAGCGACGCCTCCATGTCAAAAAAATCCTCCCAAACGCCCCAAAAGAGGACATTATAGACGAAACTGAAATAAAGCCACAACAGTGAGATCACTGGCGACAGTCCAACCACGATTGCAGCTTGTCCGAGTGAATCTCCCGTCTCAAGGGCCTCATACACGATACTTATTAAAGTGCAAACAGCTAATGCCAGAAATATGATGGCCCAGTTGAAAAAGTAATACGCCCAGACAATTTTGAGCGCTGCACTTATTCCACCCCAACATACATTATGCCCGCATACGCGTAGACCACAGGCCCCAAATTGCAGTACACGGGCCTGCAAACGTCTTTCTTTTTGCTCGTCACTGTCGCTGTCCCACTCGTCATTCTCGTTTTGCTGCGTCACTTTGACGAGGCGGTCGCTTGACAAACGAATAAAAATAGATCGAGAGGAGCTACTGTAGTGTACGCCATGTCGGTGCCGTCGTAATGTGTGTTTTTCACTTTCGGTTGTGCTTCTTCCCTTCGGAGCTTCATCTTCATTTGATGTATCGAGAAGCAACAAAGGTCGCCGCAGTAGTGGCTCTTCGTCGAGCGCTGGTGGTGGCAACTGAGGCAGCATAGTGCCTGTAGCGTAGAATTGTCATGAAAAAAGCGCGCATTAGCTGACGTGATGCATCCTGCGTTAAGCCAACAAGACAGCGCCTTGGCCCATGGCGGGGGCTGTACCCGCTGGGCCCATCGAGCTCTTGACGCTCTCCAGAAGGGGGGAGGTTGGTGGGCATGGCAATGCGGCGGACAAGAAATAAGGAAATTCCCATCTCGTTAAGGGACAAGGAGCTGCTTTACAGAGATCCAGTTTTTCTTTTCCTCGTCGCCTTTCCTTCCTAAGAGCTGCGTCCTCCTTGAGGTCAATTTCTCGATTTCGAGACAGGACGGATCGAAAGCTCCGGACTCTTTTCCTTCCTACTCCCTTCTTGCTTCTTCAGCTCCTCGCCGTCGCTTTTTGTTTGCTTTAGACGAGCTTTACGGCGAGATTCATAAGCATCCAAAGCTTGCAGAGCCTTCAGAAAGATCCGCTTTTCTACGAAAACACCGGCATCAGCCTCGGACCCTGCAGGAGTAGAGACCGTGTGCCCTGAAGCCGGGCCCTCCTTTGCAGCTCCTCCACTCTGAAGCCGCTCTTTGGGTACAGTGGGAAAGCCTAAGAGAAGGCGGACATCAGGATTTCGCAAGGCGAAATGTTGGGCATGCCCGTAGACACTGGAAGTGAACCAGTAGATGAAGACCCCAGCGGGCAGGGTGGACGAGACCGGGGCCCCCAGAATGAGGAAGAGTTGCAAGTTGTCCTTCAAAAACCGTAGAATTATCTGAGACTCATGCAAACGAGCGAACCCGAGCTCCAGATTCAGGTAAGTTGAGCCTAAGCACAGCACAGGCAAGATCAAAAGGGGGTCCGCCTCGGTCAAGTCCTCGAACCAGGCAACCCCCCCCTCCTCCAGGCCCGGGACCTGCTGGTCGATCATGCGCCTATTGGCAAGAGCAAAGGTTACGAACACAGGTAGCTGGACGATCGGAGAGGCGATGGCGGCGAGAAGACTCACTTGGTGCAGCTTGAGCGCGGCCCGCACGCCGGCGGCGTAGTCTTGGCACACTGCTGTGGTGCCCGCCCAATCCCCCGCGCGGACCCCGTCGAGGCGCTTAGAGAGAGCTCTGTTCAAAGCGAGGACGAGGGGCGCCGCCCGGGCCAGGCGAGCAAGGGCGTGGGCTTGGTAGCGGACGACAGGGAGCAGGGCCAGCCGGAAGGCCAGAGTGGAGAGGACGATGGAGGCCCACCACGGCAATCCCGTGGCCTCGTGCGTCACCTCCAGGAGCGTTTGCATGGATCGGACTGGGATGGAGTCGAATACCCAGGCATGCCACGTCGTGGGGTCTATTTGTGGGATTTGGGACACCGGCGCGAGGTCGGACGGTGTGCCCGTGGGCGGCGGCGAGGGGGAGGCGCTAAACCCTCTTCGCGCCGAGTCGAGTGACTTGGGGAGGATAGGGCCCAGCCCGCGGCCAGAGTACGCACCAGCTCCAGCACGCAGTGATGCACCTCGCAGACAAATCTCACCGGCGTTGTACCGCCATGACATAGTCCTCCTGGCCAGATTTCTGCACAGGCGCAGTGGCGTAGTCATCCTCCCTCCCACCGAGATGGGGTCGTATCCCGTGTCGGGCGCGTTTAGCCTCCCCTTCCTTGTGCCATGTTCACCGCTGCTCTCTCCTCACTGCTTTGATGAATTTTCGACGATAGCTATTTGCTCTGTACAGTTGATCACGAGAGGTAAGATTAGCGCAATAAGTTCGCAGTGCGTGACCGAAAGAGAAGCGGTGGGGGCGGCGAGGTTTGGGCGAGAGGAAGGAGGGCTGAAGGCAGAGGAGGCGACAAGTAGGGTGGAAAAGGGAGAGTAAGAAACACTGGTGGGGAGCGAGTGACAAAAAAAAGAGTTGAAGATGTCTAGGCCGATTGTTGCACCGGACGTGGTTATCATCTGGTTGCATACAGCGCTATTATAAAAGAAGACAGGAGACACCGGCCCCGCAGAGATCTCCGAGTCGCCGTCCGCACGACGATTTCCAAGTTGGCCCTGTGCGACTCACAACCCCCACACAATCGGACAGCTCTTGTGCCATGACTGGCACGGGCAAAAAGGTCAATACGACCAAGGCAACCTCCGTGGATGCTATGCGAGAGCACGTGGCAGACTTGCTGGCGCGCGGCGGGGAGCGGACGCGAGTGGTGCTCAAGTACCGACACTGCGACTCCAAGGCCTCATTGCGGGTGACGGACGACTGGAAAACCGTAAAATACACGACAAACAGACAGATTGATGTGAGTAAGATTACGCGGCTATTAGGACTGGCCGTCCAAGGGAAGGCTACAGACACAGCGGAGGGCTCCCTAAGGCCGAGCGCATCACCAACGCGTGCTCGTAAAGGTAAGGGGAAACAGAAGGCGAAGAAGGGATAAGAGGTTGATTGGCTAACATTGAAGAAAAAATATTTGTGATAACACATTTGGCCAGTATTCCTGCGGCTTACTCAGAGGCCGTTTTTTGTTGTGACAACAGATTTTATCGGAATTATCTTGTCACCGTCTTTCATGTCGTGTTCGTGCTGCCTTCGCGCGCATAGATAGACTTTAAGTTCTTTTACCGTGCTATCTTTGCGACTTCGGCTTTATTTAGAAATATTCCTTGTTGTCTAAAGTCCCTACCTGTCTTTCTTACAACTGTTTGACGGCAAATGAAGACAAGACGAGGACAGCCGCCTTCTCGAGCTCATATCACCAATCTTGATCTCCCTTGCTCCGCGCCGACCTAAATCCCATCGTTTCCGTCGATCGCCGCTACGCGAGGCTCTTCCCCACCGATTCTCGGCCCATGCCCAGACCATCTCCCTGGTGAGAGTGCGGTTGGCGCCATGCTGCACCCTTCACGGGGTGGGCGAGCGTGCTGCCAGAGGCCTCGTTCAGAGACTGATACATGAAGGAGGCCCTGGGGGCGGAGGGGCCAGGCGGGGACAGGGCGGCCCTCCTGGCGCTGGACGTGAACCACCCTTTCATGTCCGGGCTGTGCGATTTGTGCGTCAAGGGGAGGGAGGCTCCCGATGTAATGCGATCCGGCTCTTTGCCATTTCCCTGTCTTCCTGCATCACTACAGTCGGCCCCCGGCCAGAAGGGCAGCCGCTCCGTTTGGTAAACGTAGAGTGCGAGGTTGACTAGTGCGGCCCCTGCAAGGAAGAGGAGGGAGGGGTAGAAGTCGAATAAGAGCCACTCGAGGGAGCAGGAGAGGATGATGGAGAGGGAGGATCCGAAGCCCTTCATGATGTTGTCGGCGTGCACCACCACCAGCGCCACCACCAAGCCCCCCAGGGCCTGGAGGACGACCACGCCGACCACGGCCGCGTTGTAGCCGTGAAAGAAACCCTTCTCCGCCACCCGGGCGCCGTCTTTGCTGTACACGGTCATGAACGCCACCAGCACCGAGGAGACGCCCATCTGGATGTTGCGGACCCACATGCTGCTGGCGGCAGCGGCCGTGGAGGAGGGTTGAGGGGTAGCCCCACGAGGTCCGCCTGGGGGGGCCGAGACTTGCGAGGAGATGGGAGGAGTCTTGAGCTCATTTGCTTTGCTTCGCGTCCCCACGCCCTTTAAAATCTTCTCAAACCAGACCCCTGCGAAACCGGAGGTCATGCAGGCCATGAGCACGCATAAGAAGCCGAGGGTAGGATTTTGCTCGTCGCCCGCGGAGGGGAAGGAGTCAGGGAGGGAGGCCTTGGGTTTGTGGGCGTCAAGCTCAGCAAAGGAGACCCCAACAGTCAGGATGATGAGGGCGGTCCACTTGGTCCGGCTGAGGGAGCGCTTGAGGAGGAGGACAGAGAAGAGGGCCGTGGTGAGAATCTTTAGCTGGTAACAGACTTGGTAGATGGCGGCGTCCAGGTTGGCGAGCGCGGTGTACAGGAGATTGTTCTGGACCGTGTAGAGGAGGGAGGGCACGGAGAGAAGAAGCAGCTCGCGGGGCTTCAAGACTTCGTACCGAAGGTGGGCGAGGAAGTGAGAAAGGTGCTTAAATCCCTGGGCCTCCACAAGGAGGCAGGTGACCATTTTCAGGCACTGTGTCAAGGTCGAGGGAATACACAAAAATTTGGCTAAGCTTGAGGGTGAAAGGCTGCGGCACCCTCCGGAGCAGTCTGTCCCATGCATCGAGTTCCTGTTCCCAAAATTTCATCTCCCCGACTTTTGCCGACTCACCTCCATGCATGCTACCGCGGTCGAGACAATGTAGTGGTCGCCCCGGTTTGTCAGAGAGGAACGCATGAGCAAAACTAAGGACGTATTTTGCACCACTAGCAGGAAAAGCGCCACCCATTTCATGGGTATTGTTTTGGGCAACATATTCCTTTTGAATCGAAAAGCGCCGGAAAGCAGCCCTGAAGCGGCGGTCACCAAAAAAAGCGTAGTTGTGCGATATCACCTGGGAAACATTCCACCTGACCAGCGGTGGCAGTATTGTACGTGCGTGTAAAATCACGTAGAAATACGAATGAATAGGGCATTGATAAAAACGTGCGCGGCGAAGTGACCTTTCCGTAGAAAAAACGTGCGAGTGAAGGCCGGGACCCAGGGAGCCTCCCCGTCGGCGCCGTGAGCAATAATAGTCGTGAGAGAAAGGTGGCATAGGTAGCCGCGACACAAGCCACGAGACGAGGGGGCCACAGCACCGAACACCCCACGGAGAATTAAGCGGGGTCCTGTCTCCCTAAATTCAAACCGGTGGGGCCGCTGCGCGTGATGCTGCGAGGATGACCGCTCGCACGCCGGGTTTAAGCGGGGGGACTGGCGGAGAGTCCAGTGACGCGTAAAGTGGGCCTTTTGGGGTCGATGTTTCGGGGTCGCTGTCGTCAAGTGAGACCCGAATTTCATCCAATTCTCGCCTTGGGGTGTAAGAGGTGAATCGCCGTGTCCAAGGTTGGAAAGCGAACTCCTGCTGGGATTTATGGATGGCATAACTTTGTCCGGGGTGTGAATGGGTGGAGGATGCTGACTCGGGAGGGAACCACTGTTGAAACTCCTCGCGCTAGCAGAGCAGGCTCATCACGCCTCGGCTTGTCCGTCGTCGACACACGCGCACGTCAGTGTGCATTTGTGATGTATGCTCACTCTTTTGCATGCTCTACACACTTGATGCATCGTTCTCAGGTCGCTCCTGTCAAATCAACAAAACCGGGTTGGTTTCAAAAGCTGGCCGTCCTACCCTCGCTCAGATATCTTCCAGTGGTGGGCGCGGGCGGCGACGTGACCACTTTCTCACACTCAAAGGGACTGTCCCATTGTGCCGGACATTAACGCCTCTAACAAACAAAGAAGGTGTCTGTCTAAATCAGCACACGGCAGACGGTATGACCACCTTCTTGAATCCAGGCCCGGCAAGGGAGAAACTCGTGGGCAGTGGCGTCTTTTTCGAAGGCAGCATCGGGGTCGTCGGGCACGAGTCAGGCGGGGGAGTTGGGAGCCAGGACGAGATGGACACGGACCATTTCAACGAGCTAGACCACATATTCGACTTGTCGTACAGCGCGGAACAGGACCCTTTTGGCTCGGGCAGCGGGCACGCGCAGAGTCAGGGCACTGGGTATGGGCATCCGCCCCAGACGCAGCTCGGGGGCGCCAGTCTCTTGATGCCCCACCCACACAACAGCCATGGCGCGATCAGCCACGACGGCTCTCGCATGCACAACGATGGCATGGATTGGCGCGCGAAGGATGAGGACTGCTCGTACCACACCGCCGTGGACGCCAGCTGCCACATCGACAGTAGCTACCACCATGTTGATGCCTCAGGCCACTCCATGGTCGACGCCTCGGGTCACAGCACGATAGACGCGTCGGGCCACGACTCCCTCATCGACTCAAGCGGCCATTACGACGACTATCTGGCGCACAAGGGGGACGCCCGCTACATGGAGCACAGTTGTGAAGCCTGCAAGCGCTCGAAGGTGAGGCATGTCGCTGCTTCCCTCTGGAGGGCACAGCCTCGACGCTACTTTCATGCCCTGCCTCACCAGT